TTTTTTTTTTTTCGGGCCCCCCCCCCCCCCTCGCGCGCACGCTAGACACGGCACCCCTCGACACTGTGTGTATCGCAGTACTAGAGCATTCCTTTCGATCTGAGCCTTCGGACTGCTGTGTGGTTTCCGTTTGTGTCGTGTTGCTTGACCTCTTGTAAGCAACGTGCAGTATCATGCGATTGAGAAGGAAGTTTTTGCAGTATGTTTACGTGACAGAGTCAAACAAAGAAACATTAATTTCGGCGCATGGCTGTTTGTGTATTTGCGAAACAATGCCGTGGGGAGGTAGAAACTGCACGACGATTGATCTGTATTTGTCGCCTTTTGCGACGCCCGCCCGAGTCCACTGGGGCAAGGAAAAGCTTGCCTCTGTCCCCGCGTTGAGTCGGGACAGATTTGGCTAGTCGTCTCTTTACGAGCGAACAATATTTTTCATCTCAAAAGTGTTTCGTGTTTTACGCGCGCGTGCGTTCGTTTGTTATTCGGTGAACGAGTTGTTGATGCTGTTGTTACCGCCCGCCGTCGTGCCCTGATCGTGCCGCTCCGGTGGTTGTTTTGGGCGAGTTTTGACAGCACTCTCGTCCTTCGGCGTTGCGATGAAGTACCATTTTTTTCCATTCGTCCGTTGGGGCGAGTCTCGGGTATAGGGGCTGTACGCTTCGTCGCAGTATTTTAGTTCGATTTTTTGTCTTCCAACAACTCAGGTTATCTTGCGATTGATTGAATCTTCCAATCCGCCTTTTAGAGCCCTAGAACGGATGGCGTGACTGTTGGCGTAGTCAATCGGCTTTCCTCGTGGAGAACGGACCACCGGCGAGGCACGGCGATATGGGGACGGATGGGTTTCTGACTGACAAATCATGACGCTGATTCACGATTATTCGTCTGTGGATTGATGTTCCAAACCTTCCTTGCCTTTGGGAAGTTTGGTGAGGAAATCACACCTCGTACACCCGTCTCCTCCACGCACACGCACCCTCGTCGGCAAATACATCGCGCGAGAAGTACCGCTGTTGCGGAGCTTGCCGCGCCGCCATCGGCCCATGTACAGCGTGAATACGTAAAATATGTGATGCAAGCAAACTTGAGTACCACAGCCGCACGGGAAGCAAAAGAAAGTGTACCACGCGATGGACACAGTTCTTCTCGAATGAATTGGGAGAAGTGGGTGGTTGAACCTCCCGCTGTCGAGGGTCCCTATTGTCACGTTGGCGTCAACGATCGACGTTTGATTTTGGTGGACGAGGAAACCAACTCGGACTCAAACCTCTCCACCTTCCATACTTCGAAAACGAAAAAAAATCGGTGGGGGACCAATAACAGTTTTTATACGTGTGGAACTTCTATGAGTGGCGGACGCAGCGAACCCACGCGCAAGCGAAAATGTGAAGATCCCCTTCATGGTGGGTACAATCTCCCCATCGCGTCGAGGACGATTCCCTCCTTCCACACAAAAAACAAAGTTTTTGCTTCGAAGTGCGCTCAGGAAGAAACCTTCTACCCAATCATTTACAAATGAATCAGAGTGTTAGCGTGGTGCACCAATTCTCTACAGTCTTTACGAACCAGACTGTGGTTGGGCATATCAGTAGTACAATCACCGTCGACGAGTACACACGGTATCGAGTTCTGCTTCTCGCCGTTTCTTAGGTACACAAGCAACCGCTACGGAGACGACGTAACAGGAAAAGTGAGGGCAATGATAACGCCAAGTGCATCATCTCCTGCCACTAACTAGAACACTACTTCTGCTTCTTTGACGACGGCGACTTGCTGGAGCTCTTCTTCGCCTTCTTTCTCTTTTTCTCGTCGGGTTCTGCCTTCGTCACCGCCTGTTAACCATCGAACGATAATTAGCGTTTCATTCGCCAAAACCGGCGTATATTTGTGGTGCAGTCATGATGCCAATGTTCACCAGATTTGATGGACAGGTGCCTACGCGACACTGTTCGTTTCACGCAAACAGTGTGCTTTGAACGTCCAAGAAGGTTTTGTATGCTTTTGTCTGAGTAATACAGTACTTCTTCGACAAGGAAGACAAGAAGCCAAGTGGCGTCTACAAAACCATCTGGAACCATACAACAAAAACAACAACAGCTGCTGCTGCTGCTTCACCTACCGTCTTCTTTTTTGACTTTTCCCGGACTTCTCCTCCCCGCTCTCCTTTGTCTTTCTTGGGCTTTTTAGACGAAGAGGACGACTTCTTCTTCTTTTTCGACTTCGACGACGAGGATTTCTTCGACCTCTTGTGCCTGCTGCGGCTCTTGCTTCGTCTCTTTTCCCTCGCTCGCTTCCGCTTGTCCGTCCGCGACCTTGACCCCGACTTCTTTTTCTTCTTGCTCTTCTTCTTGTCCTGTCGTAAACGCCACCGTTTGTTTGTTGTTTGCTCTGTGCACGTCCTCGTCGGTTACGTTCCTTCGAGAACGCATCTATCTATAGTACGATTGAGACCGCAAGGTGCGTGCATTGTTGCTAAACTTGCGGTTTGTTGGTTTGGCTGTTTCGTGCTGTCGTTGTCGTTGTCGTCGTCGTCGTCGTTGTTGTTGTTGCCGTCATTGTTGCTTGTTTCCTGATTGCCTTGCGCGGTTTTCTCTTTTACTTTTGCTGTTGAAAAAGGCGGTGTGTGGACGCTCTGCCCGGACGTACTTATGTTCTCTGCGTGTCTTTGGTCTCCACTTTCTGGTGTTGGGGAACAAATTTTCAGGGCCAAAGTTGATCTTGCACTCAGTTGCTGATAGTGCCAACTCATATCAGGCACACAGACTGAGACTTGCAACGAATGTGACGGGGATGAAGCGGAAAACATGCGCCTAACGAAAGTGCGTTGGGGCTCTGAGATCCCCCACTCTTGTCGGATCTCCACCAAGAAAGCAAAAACTGCTAGATGGTATTCTGAGAAGGTTTTGTGCGGTTTCTTGAAGCCGTAGCGCGTTTCACACTTGAAGTTGCTCTTCCACCAATCTCCGTCAATGTCGGTCGCACCGCCTGAGTTTGGCGTTCCAAAGCGTCAGCGTCAAGACACCTGTAGTACTTTTCTCAGTGCACCGCGTATTTTCCGTTCATTGCCGGCCTCCTCGCAACCTTTCTGCCCGATCTACCCTGCGTGGTACCTTTTTTCTTCTCCTCCGCCGTCTCTCCCTGCTCTTGCTGCGGCGGTCGCCTTTCCCACGCTTAGACTTCTTCGACCCAGACCGCGACTTCAGACCATTTATTGGTTGCGAATGTGAAAGGGGGCAGGGGCAGGGGCAGGGGCAGGAGCGGGCGCGAGTGCAGCCATTCATCACGTGTCGTTGACTATATTTTCATTTTAGCGCCCTTCCTCTTCACCAATCGGACATCAGGCGTGTTGGTAGGTAGCAGAAACCATGGCTGTGTCGTCGTCCTGAGTGCTTGCCTATCTCGGGGCTAATGCGATGCTGATGTGCTGAAAGACAGCACGGAAGAAACAGGGTGTAATGAGCACCACTTGGTGACACATTGCAGCCTGAACCAGACAGCAACGAAACAACTCTTTGAATCACACCTTCTTCTTCTTTTTCTTATTCGAGGAAGACAAATGCTTCTTGTCTTTCCTGTCCGTCTTCTTTCTCTTTTTTTTCTTCTTCTTGTCGTCTTTCGAAGACGACGACGCCTTCTTCTTCTTGCTCTTTTCCTTCTTGCCCCCCTTCTTGTCGTCGTACATATCTCGCCAGTTAACGTCCTTCGCCTGCACCGAGCGCGGTTGAGAGGGAGTTGGTGGATGGCGAAGGAATGGAAGAAGTACTGCGTCAGTTCGTGTCGTCTGCAAAGTACCGTTGTGCAGGCTGGGGGGGGGGAGTAGGACGTCGACGAAATCATGACGCTTGCAGCGTATTTAGTAGAGGACAACCAGGTCGTATGTCGACCTCTAACGACCTGTGTGCTCAATGGATGTGCAAAACCTTGTATGCACACACCGATCAAGCAACGACTCGCTACCTCCTCCCGCTTGGACTAGATCGCGAACGGAAACAATCATGAACAACTACCTCTTTTGTACGAGTGGCTTTCGATTCTTCACCCGCTTCGATACGAAGCGTTGTAGTGAACGTGCGGGTGCTCGAGGCGCTCTCTCACCTGCTTCTTCTGCTGCTGCTTGAACTTGCGCCGCATTCGCTTCATCGCGTATCTGCCTCAAGTGGTGCGAAGAAAACACCCAGGAGAACGACGAATGTAGGCCGTGAAGAGTAGTATAGGGGGGGAANTATTCGGCGAGTCGCATGAAGGGTGCGCTGCATCCTGTTAAGGGTTTTCGGCATGTTGCGCTTACTTCCTTGGGGGCGGTGTACTCATAGTCGTGCATGCCGTAGATGTTAGACCGTTGACCTCGCATCCCGACATTTTGTCGGGACGGAGCACGCCGGGTTCTCACCGGATCAGGCTCTCACATCACCAAGCGCGAAGCGCCTTGAGGTATTCGGCCAGTCGCATGAAGGTTGCGCTGCATCCTGCTAAGAGTGTTCGGCATCTTGTGCTTACCTCCTTGCGTACGGATGAGAGCTGTGTATGACTTCGTTTATTTTCTGGTGCTTTCACTTCCAGAGACAGTTGTAAGCATTGTGTAACTGCCTCGAGGGTGCTTGGCCATTCTAACCCAACGTGGTGCGATCATCCCCCTTGCGCGGAGTGAGGGTTCTCGACCCCGCACAACATGATCTACTCGACCATCAACAAAAAATAGGGCAATGAAAAACGAAGCGGTAACCTGGTTGCCGAGGTCACGAAGTGATCGGCGTCTTTTACAACGTCGTTGCCAAGCGACGAAAACCCAACCCCGATGGCAAACACCGAGGGGGGGGGGGAGTTTCTCTCCTTCCCTCAATAGACAGTGAGTAATCGATTGACCGTGCAATAGGCTATCTCAGAATAAATTCAATGAAGGACTTAGTGCGAAGGTGTACCGATTCAGGTAAAAGTCGATCGACGGATACCCTGCGAATCGGGTCCTCCTTAACACTAGCTCATGACCATTTCGTGAAAAATGAACAGGGCGAACGCGAGGGTGGTATTCTACGACGCTATCCAACGAAAAAAAATGTGGAGCACAACTGCGAAAAAAAAATGGGTCATCTCAGTCATCGAACCATCACTTTCAAGTTGAGTTTTCGTGCTTGACGTTTGAAAGGGCGGGGGGCGGGGAAACAGGGTTCGTTTTGGTACTAAGTTCCTGTCGCTCCACGGCAACGACGCGAGATCAGTTGTTTCACCGAGGATTCCAGAGGAAAAAGGATTTTCTTCGGGGTTTACCATACGGTCGACGAGTGGAGCGATGTCCACCGTATATATACTTAGAAGTATAAAATTGTGTGCAGCAACAACTGACAGACAGCGGGGAACGAACGGGCAGGAAGGGGGGGGGGCAGGGAGATGGACGCACCTCTCCATGGCCCTCTTCTTCTTCCTTCTGCGGTACTCGACGTAGAGGAAGAGTATCAAGAACACGCCGCTGAAGAAGACGGGCACGATGATCCTCCACGGCAGGGGAGACACGTACGTCCAAGTGTGCCTTTTCGTTCGAACGGCGTGTTTTGCCAGGGAGGGTGGCGGTTGCGGTGACGGGTGGCGGCAGCCGTCGTAGTGGCGTTGCGGGTAGGGAAGCGGCGGTGTATCCATATTTTCGAATGGAAGATAAGGATTTGGCTGATATGAAGAGTGTCATGCGGGAACATGGACGTATCCGCGGCGCCGTTGTTGATTCGTCCTCCAAAGTATGAAATCCAACGTGCACTTCTTGGCGTTGCCGATGTTTGTCCGTCGGACGTTTCCTCCTCTTCTTCACTACACGAAAACTCCAAGACCCTTCGTTCACCACGGCATGTAGACACCTGCTGCAGCATTGACAACACCTAAAAAGAACTTCCCTCTCTCGATTTCAAGTACTACCCTTCCCTTTTCTCTCTGTCTATTCTGTCTCTCTTGATTCACCTCCCTCACATATTGAGTGTTTCACGGTAGCTGAAATCAGCATTCCCCGCGGCATCGACGGCCCTGACGTACAGGATGTACTCCCCCGTGCCCGGACCCCCCCTCCACCGGTTAAGGAAGGAGACGTCCGCCGATTCCACGCGATCTGTCCACGCTACCACCTACAGGAGATGGCGCGGGGGCGATGGGGGGGGGGGGGGGGGGG